TAAGTGTGTCAGACTGTTGGCCATTCACCACCACTTCCCCTACCATCTACCCTCTTGTGCACTGCATGGGTTAGAAGCTTGAATGCTACATTTCCAGGAATCCTTTGCTAGTTAGGCTCAACTTTATGTTCTGCAAAATGAAAAGCACACATAAAAAAATATGGATGGCAGTAAAGAAGGAGGAGTTGTCATTGCTCAGATAGCAGAGAGCAGGCATGTGGGCTTTGGCAGAAGGCAGGGGTAAAGTATTACCAGTGGCTTTCAGGTGTATTCCAGGCAGCTGAGAATATGTGCATTACTTCCCTATGAAACTCAAATGTCTTTACTTCTGGAAGGGTGGCAGTAGCTTTCCTGACCTTTACTTCCATAACCCTGCCAACAGTTTCAGAAAATGACTATATCCAATGTTAATTCCCTTTCTGCTTGAAATATTACTAAAGGTTTTAGTATGTTACAGAATTACATACCAGAAGTGATTGTAGACCCTTAGAGATGGTTATCTACAGTTGTCTGTCTGCCTTGATTAGATTTAAAGAAGGTAATGTCATTAATAATGAGTAATAGGATCATGATAATTAATCATTTTCAGGCCAAAACAGTTGCTTAAATGATTATCGATAGTTTCCTAAACTGAAGAATAAGATTTGAGAAAACAAATGACTGTTTCAATAGAACATTATGGATGAATAGAGAATTACAAAGTCTTTGAGAGGCTTGGCTATTTCTGACTAGACTGGAGAGATTACAAAAACAAAACAACCTTAGTACTTTAAATTCTCAGCTGAAGGTTTGGCAGGGAACCAGAGATCTATGACTATGTGAAAAGAATCATGTATCTCTTTTAGGCTTAGAATCAATGTATCCAAAAAGTAAACTATGATTTAAAATTCTGAATGGCAAAATTACAACTCAAGTAAATTTTGTCTTTTATGTGAGAGTTAGGGTATGGACTAGGAAAGTGTAGGATACAGAATCGGAATGCAGGCCTCAAAGGTCTAAATTTCACTGAGCCTCCGTGGTAGCTTTTCTTGTCTCTGAAAAAGCAAATTCCCCTTGTTTGAGTTCCCTGTAATGTCATTCATCAAGGAGGCTGCTGACTCCTCTCAAAACCAATTCCAACATATCTAAATGTAAAACCAATAGGTAGAATTGGTTTCAGCAGATTTCAAGAGTTCAAGTAGAAATTTCAGCATTAGAAGATGGAATTTACACTGAAAATCACCAAGAAATTTCAAGAGTTCTTAGCATATAACATCTAAAACCACTGCAGCTTAATCATAAATTTGTAAAGTATCCAGAGCCAATTATGAAAGTGAACAAGTAAATAAAAACCAAAGAAATATAAGTCGTTTCTTGATACTAGAAAAATAAAACTCACCAGCAAAAACTCCCTGTTACAAAAGTGCTGCTCTGGTTTGACTACATTTGTAGTTCTCTATATATTGATAGTTATATAATACAGTCTTAATATTCAAATGATTAAAGATTCAAAAAAAATGGAGTCACTCTTGTATATCTAGTTTACAAATGTGTCCATCAAATTAAAACAGCTGTCCCAAATTAAATATGTCAAACCCAAATTGTCTAACTAGTAAACTGCATTAAAGTAATCCTAGATTTAGAGAATATAAAAGATAAAAGGAATTTTACAGTATTTAGTCCAACTCTTACATTTCCTTTTTTTTTTTTTTTTTGTGACGGTGTCTCGCTCTGTCGCCCGGGCTGGAGTACAGTGGCCGGATCTCAGCTCACTGCAAGCTCCGCCTCCCGGGTTTAGGCCATTCTCCTGCCTCAGCCTCCCGAGTAGTTGGGACTACAGGCGCCCGCCACCTCGCCCGGCTAGTTTTTTGTATTTTTTTTAGTAGAGACGGGGTTTCACTGTGTTAGCCAGGATGGTCTCGATCTCCTGACCTCGTGATCCGCTGTCTCAGCCTCCCAAAGTGCTGGGATTACAGGCTTGAGCCACCGCGCCCTGCCTCAACTCTTACATTTCATAACGATAATGTCAGAGGTCAAAAGAGGTCTAGTGACTTGCAGAAAACCACTATTAACTGGAGGTATAAATGAGAAATATTTCTCCTTATTTATTCTATTGCCTAATGTTTCTCAAAATATGCCTGCTATCATTTTGAAAACGGATTACACAGAACAGTAGACATGTAGAATTTGCAAAAATGTAAACATTTTTGCATTTAAAAATATATATTATTTATTAGTGACACATAATATAACCACAGAAATGTTTAAGCTCAATTCAGTCCAGTTCCACTTTCAATTCAAACATTAAAATGCAAGCCAATTTGTTGGTGGTGTTACCAACAAATCACCAACAAAAGCTGTGATTATTCAATAAGAAATTGTTCTCCTAAACATTCTCATAGCTGATCCAGTGGGTAATATGACTATTAGAAACAAAATTTTTCTCAGAAAATCTCTAGAGTCTCTTCCTGCTGAAAAATACATGTTTAAATTGAAATTTAAAACATATTCCTATATAAAATATTACAAAAAAATGAAAATGTAGTTGAAACTACACTGGTACTTTATAAATCAAATATGAATATGTGAACTAACCCAGAAAACTACTACCTTTCTATATTACATATACATACACACACACATACACACAGGTATGTATTTTTAAAGTTTGCCTTGTTCCCAAAAGACCTTAAGGTGGGTCGTAAGGATACATAAATTGCAAGAGAACATAAATTTTAGGTAGATAATAAATCAAGAAGAAAGAGCATTAAGACATTTTTCCTATGTGGAACATGAAGATTAGGGTCTGAGTCCAGAAAAAAAGAAGAAAGGAAGAAAAGAGAGCAAGAGAGAAAAAGAGAAGAAAGGAGTAAAAAAAAGTGGGAGAATAAAAATATATATGAAAAACACACTATCCGCAATTTGGAATTGCAAATAGTAAACTTTCATTTGTCAACATGGAAATAACCATGGTTAATGTAAAAACAATTCATAGGTTTTCCAGCCCAGATAAGTGCTGACAGCCTAGATTAGCTCTTTCAACAACTTGTAAACCAAGACTCCCCAGGGCCTTCTGGATGGGAAGCATATTAATATCAACTCTGTGACCGCTCAGCACCATGACATGAAGTGTCTGCTCAGGAGGTCATCTCCAAAATGTATCCCATACATCTTCATGCACAAGAGATGATAATTTATCACCTAGATGTAGGGATCTACTGTAAACTAATCCAAACTGCTGATGATACACTAAATCAGTTTGAATGATGAGTATAAATAAAGCTGCAAGCGAAGTACTGAAGGATACAGATCTATCTGATCAATGAGATGTCACCAGGCAAATGAAATGCAGTGTTGACAAACATAGAGTACCTCAGTTGAAAATTAACCAAATCAAGTATCAGAGCATAAAGGCACACATTAATACAAGCTAGGAATGAAAGTTTAATATGATATGAGTCAGAGGCTATATTCTAACTGTTTCATATAAAACTGAGCAGAGTGGGTCAGTGGAAAAGAATGTTTTAAAAATTGATATATTTTGCACACCACAGAAAGTATGACAGGACGAAGAAAAATGCTGCAAAATAATAATCCTTTCCAAATAATATAACTGTAGTTATTCAATCTGCTGAGCAAACCCATACACACAGATGAAGAAAAACAATAAGAATTTTATACAGAAAATGATTTCACATCAACTTGCTATGAAGAAATCAAATTCAATTTGTGTTGCCCTTATGAACAGTTAGAAATTTTCCGAAACTGTCATGCTACAACTTCAATGGGGAAAAACAAAGGAATGGGGATACGGAAGGACATTCCTCCAGATAGTTGATATTCATGAAGGACACTCCTTAAGAAAAAAAGATTTTCCCAACTATGTGATCAGAATAGAGTCTTTAATATACAACAAATAGATTCAATGGATTCAGCTATTCTGAAGGTGTCCCTAATGGAAAGAGCTGATTAAAGTAAATTTCAAACCCTGCTGGAACAAATCTGTAAAAATATTTTCTGAGGGAAATAATTCTTCAAAAAAGTTGTTTTCATATATAGTTTTTGTTGTAAGTATATATAGAGAGTTTGTCATAACATAGTTAACTCTTGCCTTGTATTTTATCTTTCAGTTTATTTGGGGGTACGGATAGAATTATACTACTAAAATATGACCTGGACCCAGATGTAGTTTATTTAAATTTCAAAATGAAAAGCTTACTAAGAACAGATAAGATTGATTGCTCTCTCTGTCTTAGCATAATTGTATTTCAGGTGAACATCAATTTACTTTAAAGGACACTTCTAAGTAGCAGAATGCATCATAAATAATTCATCAATCACAGCTACTGGGAACATGATTTACTCCAGCAGATTCAATGGAATAAAAGGTTTTTTTTTAATATATTGTGTCTGCTTTAAGAAGTTTCATAATCTTCCTTTTCTAAGAATTCATTCTTAGATTCCATACTTCATACTTTAAATGCATTATGATAAAAACTGTATCTTTTTCTTCCTTTTTTAAGAAAAACATATTTTCTAATTAAAATAAAAACAATTAAAAGCCTTTGGAACAAATAACAATCTATGTATATCAACAGCAAAATAACAAAAACATATAAGGTACATATTTGAAAAATAGCCTTAAGATTTCTCAAACACATAATTCAAATAATACTAACAAAATTTGTTTCAGCTTATTTGAATTTTTAAATGGAAGAAAAAGAAGGTAGTCTTTCCAGAAGTCTTTTGTAGAACATTTAGGATCTGGCATATTTTAAAATTACTTCAATTTAAAAATGCAAATCAAACAGATTCTAAATTGTTCAACAGTTCAAGTTTTGTCAGTTGATATCATGAGTATCCTATCTAGAACTTTCATTTGTCATATAGAAAGACATTGCTTACCTTACACATCTTAAAGTTTTCTATCAATTTCAGCAATTTTGTACCAGCCATTTCCCAAGCTGTGAAACATATTGACAAGGAAAAATGTAAAAGAAAATAAAAAGCATTTTACTTACTTGCAAACCCCTCTGGAAAACTGAATGGCCCATAAAATTAGCCAGCATTCTTATTAAAGCAGCACCCTATAGGAAAGAGTAATAAAAAGAAAAGAATTTCAACAAAGTATCATGATTGTAAAATTGTTTTAATCAAACCTAGCCTACTTCATTCATGCTATTCTATTTTCAAAAATAATTAAGAAACAGGAGTATCATGAAAATAACATCCAACTTAGTGATAACAATTTCATTTTTTTGTCTTGTGAATTTTGAAGTTTTATGTAAAACCTACAACTACAAAATGGAAGTCCTCTAGAAAGAATATCTCAGGGCAATGATAAGCTGTAATTCAGGAGTACTCAATATTTTATTGAACACTATATATGGCAAATTTAATAAAACATGGTTCTTGTACTTACAATCTCATAATTTGTTCAGGGAAGGATATCTGTGTTAATAAATAATCATATTAAAATATAACTTTGAAGTAAAATAATGTACTCCTTAACCAAGAAAAGTTCAGTTGTGGAAGTAGAGAGTAGAGTACCAAGAAGTCAGACTGCCTAGGTTCAAAACTTAAGTCTGCTACTTACCATGTTTACTCAGTAAGATCATTTCAGCTCTCTGCTCCTTACTTTTCTCCCTCGTAAAGTGCAGTTAATAGTAGTTATATTTAATATGGCTGTTCTAAAGCTTAAATAACTCAATATATGTAAAGCAGTTTGAGCTAGGTCTTTAAAATAGTAAGCCATATAGGAGTGTTAGCTATCAGTATTATTTCAAATTGTCTAATCATTTTTATTTCCTATTTCCTTTTGAGGCTGTATTTAGCCATATATATCCATATACAAGTAAAACAATGAGATCAATATAAGTAACTGGAGAAATAGAAGAAAATACTAATTTACAAGAGTCTCTCTTATCTTGAGACCCATTATTATAATATGGCAGAACAACATGAATGCAACAAGGTAGGTATGTAATCAATATGAAACATTCCAAGGAATGACAATTAAGTATGGATTATAACAAATCTTCATGTAAAATATAAATAAGTCTTCAAGAAGACACTTGACCAAATTGAACTGGTATGGAGCAATGGATTGTAAACAATGAATGTTTAAATACAAATTGTAGCCTGGCTTGGGGGTTACAAATTTCTTTATGACTACATATCCCATTTCATACTCAGTAGAAATATACAACTGTAATAATTCATTTCTTGCAAGATGTCTCTTTTCACAAGAAAATTGTAAGAATCACAAATAGAATCATTCAGCCAGGGCGTGGACTGCTGTGTAGTCCAGCAACACAACAACGGATTTCCATCATTTGTTACTAGAATGATTTGCTAGAATTCTGGGACTTGAAATCAGTGCAATACTCAGACTCTATGAATCACCATTAAAAGATGTGTATTATAATTTCAACCACCACCAAAATTGCTCCCCAAGTCAGTATTTTATTCTCATCTCAACAAATGATAGGCTGAAATATAATAGTTTTATGACTTTTCTGATATTTTTTTCTTCTCACACCTTCCATTCATTGCTCTTTCTTTAGCTTCTTCCTCTTAATCTTCTGCATATTTGCATATGACCATAAAACAGAAGCATTTTTTATTCAATCTGAGGACTAGTTTAGAACTCCCTTTAAAACATATCAGCTGTGTTCCTTGAATTTCCTTGACAAGCTCTCCTCCTATACATTTCTCAATATAATCGACCCATCCTGAGGGTGAAAACTATCCATTTTTCAGCAAACCTGATCATTACCACCTGGGAATTGAGACTTAGTATCAAAGCAGTCAACTTAAACTTTCCTTCAGCACTGAACAGCCCTCTTCGATGATTTAAGTGTTTCCCTCCAGGTAATGATGACTTGGTCTCTTGTCAAGTTATAAAAACTATTAATTTAGCATGGTCTAATGACACAAAAATCCTTTCTGATCATAAAGAATGTACCAGTTTTCCTGTCTGAATTAAGCTGGAGAGAGTGGTAACAGGAAAGAAAAACTGAAAGTACAATCAGTATTCAAAAGTTATAGACTATCACTTAGTTCCTGATTATATTGTATAACTCAATTAAGTTTTAGAAAATATGACTGTTACCCATCTGAACATTTTAACAGTCTCTGGAGTGGCATGCACTCTTCTATGTTTAACTAGCCTTTTCTTTCCAAAGTTAAAATTTTAAAATCCTTATTTTATAGAACTTCATAGACAGATGGGCTCTCCAACTGTCATGGTTTAGCCAACATATACTAAGCACATACTATGTATGGATTATAACAAAGATCACAACCCCTAACACAGGCAGAGCTCATTATAAACTTTTTAAAGAAAACTCAGAATTCCTTTTCATCCTTTCTTTAAAACATTTGTTTATCAAGCAAACTTTGTTTACAATATTGTAACTTATATTACCTTTTGATTCAAAACTCCAGCCCCAGTCAAACAAACTGGACATTTAGGAAGCCCAAGTAGCTTTATGAAAAGTAAATATACTATTTCTTCAAAATGTAATAATTTTTTAGACTTGTTCTAGAAAATTAATCACTGTCTGCTAAACTAATATTCAAGGATATATTAAGATATCTACTTGATTTTTCTAAAGTTTCATAAAGAATATTCCACAAAAGTAGGCTTATAAAACTCATTCATCATTTAGTAATTTTTATATTTGGAATATCTTTTTAATGTAAGTTCCCACCTAAATTTTCTTTTATTTTACATTGGAGCCATTTGCGTGCACATCAGTCTCTGAGGTATTTAACATCCCCAGAGAAAAAAACTGTGTCCTCATGACTTGCTATCATCCTCTTCCTACGTCTGGCTCAGAGGAGGTGCTCCCTTAATGTAAGACATGGAAAAGAGAGAAAGCGAAAATTCTGCGCACGTAACAATTACTTTGTGTTCTTGCAGAGGAGTTATTCAGTCAGGATATACAGTTTATTACTTCATTGGTATACATCAGTGAGAAATCCTCACTTTTGGAGAGGGAGATATTCTCAACTATTTCTTTAGCACATGCTTATTGAATAAAGCGGTATGTTCCGCATCCTAAATGACACAAGTCTCTGTCTTTGAGGATTTCAAAATCTCATAACTGAGATGAGATGCAAAGCAAAATAAAATGAATGACAAGAGAAAGTATTCGACTGTGTTTCAGAAGAGGTAGAGGTTATATCTGGAGGGGTGAAGGAAAACGAGGGTCTAAAGAAGTAGTATTTGTGTTGAACCTTGGAGGATGGAAAAGTGTTCCATGAGTTAAGATAAACAAAAAGCAGTTGCATGTTACGACAGGAATGAACTTTATGTGGTCAAATAGGTGTGAAAGTGGAAATCACAAGTAGGAAGATTTACATGGAAAGACAGTAAATAAAACCGGAAAATGGAAGACTAGATGGAAAATAAGATTGAGACAGTTTTTAGAGGAGTTTGAATACCAGGGATAAGGAATTTGGAAAACCGGTTTTTAAAAAAGTCAGGATTTAACTATGATACTCGAAGGAAGAAGTAAAGTAACCAGAAACAAATGATAGCAATGAGGATAAAAATTAGAAAGAGGTTGAAGAAATGGAGCAAAGATAAGTTTGTATTTTAAAGCTAGAGTGGATGATGACATTAGCAGATATACAGAATTTAGAAGAAAATGCTGGTGAGGTGAATATAATAACATCTGTTTGTAAATGTGCTGTTTGAGGAACAGGTATAGAACTCAAGGAACAGAGGGCAAGAGCAACCACAGGAATACAATTCAGAGGAAGGTTATGATTGAATATATATATTGGGAATTAGAGTGGATGAGTCTGCCAAGAGAAAAGTTCTAAGGCTTCAGTAAGAAAAATATAAAACAGAATCAAATAATTGTTTTCGATTTGTTTATTCTGTGTTATGATTTGCACTTCAGTGCTCGTAACAGGTGCTCAACAAATATCCATTGAAATCAATGAAGAAATGAAATTAAGAGAAAAAAATGACACATTGTGATAAAAAACAGAAGGAAAACTGGGTATAAGTGGTGTCATAGAAGAAGACATGTTTTAAGAATTAGTGCTTCAGAGTTCAAGGAAAATAATAGCTAAGAGAAGGCCATAGTAGGCCATATTTAAGAGAGGGCTATTTAAATAGACTTGTGGGTATGAAAGCCAAGTGCAAACAGAAGGAAGAAAAGAGAAAGGCAGAAGCAAATTCACATGAAAGGTTCGTTTGTGATTTTCTTTGGTAGAAAATAGGAGAAATTTTTTCTGCAAAGCAAAAGATGACCCAGTGGAGATAGAAACTGAAGACACAGTCAACCAAGAAATCATTATTGAAGTAAGATTCTAGAAAAGCTAGATAAGAATTTAGGCTAATCTTGGGAAAGAATAACAACAATCTACTCTGAGGTAGGACTGAGGCAGAAAGGGGAAATAAAGATAAATAAGAGATTTTTAAGTGTAAAGCACAGAAGTTAAGAAAGTACATTGCACAGAATAGACTCTAATTTCCATCAAGGTGGGGACTTGGTCTGTCACCATTATACGCTCATTGTCAAAAGCAGTTCCTGACACATGACAGGCTCTCAAAAAATACTGAACACATGATGGACTGTCACTTTCCAATAATGTAGGAGATGTGGTCTGAAGATAACATGAGTTGGAAAGAGTGGAACTAGGTTTGAAGTAACCCATTGAAAACGTAATAAGGAGTTTAAGATGTGGAAAGGTGTAGAAAAGTTGTAAGTTGTACTAGTCCATTCTCACACTGCTATAAAGAACTGCCCAAGACTTGGTAATTCACAAAGGTAAGAGGTTTAGTTGACTCAGGAAACTTACCATCGTGGTGGAAGGTGAACGGAAAGCAAGCACCTTCTTCACAACGCAGCAGGAGAGTGTGAGCACTCAGGAAAAACTACCATTTATGAAACCATCAAATCTCATGAGAATTCGCTTACTATCATGAGAACAGCATGGGGGAAACCACCTCCATAATCCAATCAGTTCCCTTCCTTGACACGTGGGGATTACAGTTCCCCTCCCTTGACAAGTGGGGATGACAATTCGGCATGCAATTTGGGTGGGGAAACAGGGCCAAACCATA